TTTACAGTGATCAGGTGGCATGAGTTCACATAACACTAGAAACTGTAGTCCAGTGGTCTTCAAAAAATCAGCATATCTTTAAGGCACTCCTTAATTAACATGATGCTATGAAGTTTCATGTCATGTCGTCTTTCCATGGCTAAACAGAATCTGACCAACATGATCTCTGACAGTGATTTGGAAGTGTACCAACCTCTACTCTAAGCAAATGAAACTGCCACAGGATTTTTACCTTGCAGTTGCAATTCAACAGGAGGAATCCCATATATTCCTCTCAATAAACTGTAGTGAAACACGTTTGAGAAAGTCAGTAGATGTAATTAGAAAAGCAGCCTTGCTAAATGGCTCTGGAACCAGTCTCCTTGCACCCCCATGTGTGCTGTGGCTGTCAGTGCACGTACGGCACACCCTGATGTCCTCTCCACTCTGCCTGGGCTGTATCAGCAGCAGGAGAAGAAGACTACTCCCAGCAGAGCTATGGAGGCCACGCACACCCACTGCAGCAGCACACAGGCACTCTGAAGGCAGGGCTGAATGAAGTTAGTTCACAATTCTTCTCTTAAACATTGATTAAAGCTGGACCCTCATAGCTCTGATTTCAGTTCACAGTGGAACTAAAAAGCAGTGACAGTCACCATGGTCATCTCATCTCCCACACAGAATACAGAAGACTTGAAAAGTGTGAAGGAGAGAAAAGAAAGAATTTACTGCATGAACTGACTTTCTACAAGGTAGGACCATATACGTTTCAGAAACCCAGACACATGGTGTTAATCATCAGGTTTCCAAGATGCCCTAGTCACAAGATGAAAACTAGAGCACTCCAATGGCTTATTAACTTCAACAGCTTCACTCTTTCCAGCTACAGATTTCAGTTGCACAGATGTTTAGATTAGTATTTCTACTAATTTGTCAGCACAGTTACACACTACAGTGCAATAGAAAAAATAAGCTATCCCTGCAAGAAAGCAGTTGTAGGTGTTACCTTTTTTGTCTGTTTGATCATTTTGGCATTGCTTTAACCAGGAAATATTTTTCCCATCAAACTAACCAACACCACTGGGCAGCCCGGACACAACTGCAGAAACAGACTCAAAGTGGCCTCAGCAACTCAGCCCAGTGACAGTTTCAGAGTTAGACTGAGAAAGGAAAGAAATAAACGAGCATTTCATTTAGCTAGATGAAACTTAGTCAGGTTAGAGCAACACCTGGGGTAGCATAGGTTAAAATGCAACCAGGTAGGTAAATGCCAAACCTCTTTGGGGTTAGCTGGTGCCACACACACGAGCATTCCTTGTCATGATCCTGCCAGCACAGATGCTGCTGGCAGTGTTGCTCACCCCTGACCACGCTGGGTCATAGTGTCTGCCCTATACCTCCTCTCAGCACAACGAGACATAATGCAGGTTCCTCGTCCTCCTCACATGACCTGTGAAGAATTGTTTATAGTTGGTAAGGAGGAGCTCCTTAAACACATCTGAAAACATCACTCTGTTTATTTTGCTGTTTGTCCTCCTGAATGAACGATGAACTTCAATTTAACTAAGGCAGCTGAAAATGTACTGAATTTAGCTGTCCATTCTGGCTGATTTGTTAGATTTAGTAACTAATGAGTTTATTATGACCACAACTAACAGCAATTCAATAATAACAAGAAAATTAAAATAGAACTCCAGCCATTTAAGAGGATCTCTTCAGTAACCATGTTGATGGGAAAGGAAGACAGAAAAGAGTAATGAAAATCCACCCAGAACACTGTTAACTAAGTTCAGAAAGGGAAGCGGAAAAGTTACATTTAATCATCAACCATTTCCTTTCCACCTGACAAGTTTTCATATTCAATACCTTTGCTTTTCATGCCCTTCACAGGCAGTCACTGTCCATCTCATGTCTAAATAGATCTAGACACATCATCTCTGAATGGGGACCTACACAATGATATGCTCCCACACAGGAGCTGGAAGGGGCAGAGAAAGCAATGAGGCATTGTATTTCTAAACAGAAAAGAACATTCTTTAAATACTGATTTGCTAAGTAGTAAAGCTCCCTGTTTAGGTATGAAATTCACACACACCCCCCCTGGTTCTCAGATCTTCACCTTCCATAAGGCCTTCTGTCAGCATGCATTGCCTATACACGCCAATTACTATTGTTACGCCAGTTTATTAGTTTCAGTCTGGCTACCATGAACTCATTTCCAACAATTACACCAAGGAACAAAGTAGACATCTCTTTGTTTCTGATTAACGCATATGTCCTCATCTGTTCCTCAGGTACTTCCTGGATTTCTTTACCTGCACATCCCATTTTCTTCAGAGAAAAAAGATTTAGACTTTTCCTCCCTGGAAAAACCTCTTTTTTTTTTTTTTTTTTTTAATGAGAGACCACATTCTGTGCATTCACATATGAGGACTACAATTAGTCCAAGATCAAGAGGAGCCAGGTTTGGAGCCAATACAGTTATGTCTGATCCTAGAATATCTTAACTAGAGACAACAAAATTTAAGATACTTTGATTGGCTTTTTAAAACATTACACATGCCTCTCAAAATCAGGTTGAGGTAACTCAAAATGGGAGGAATAATTTGTGGGTGTGTTGTAGTTCACTAATGCAGCTAATGCTTTTGCTTATGCCATTGTTCTGCATTTGCTTAGAGGGGAAACTCTGACAGAGCTGAAGGTTTTGCCATCACAGGAATCCCTTACCTTGGAGTGACTCGTGTGAGTTCATCGGAGGGGTGCAGAATGCGGCAGGTGGTGAAGGTGAAGGTGGAGTTGGTTTGTGACATGCACTTCCCAGGATGAGGTACTAAATTAAAAAAAAGCAAATTCTTTGCATTTTACACAGAAAAGGGGAAAATCAAACTTCTGTGTGCTGATTAAGACAGATGCAAAAAGTGATGAGGCACCTTGATGGGATCAATGTAAGAAGAGTGAAATACACAAGTTCTACTTTAACAGACACTTGTTCTCCAAAAGAAACACCTCTAGGACTCCAAGGCCAGTGCTAAAAAGGTCTGCTGAAACTTGTCCATGATCATAATACGTCTTGCTCAAGCCAAACTGAGGCCAGGCAGTGCTTGAAATACTAGCCCTTATCTAAATGAGCAAATAGCATCAGTGGGAAATTACAAGCAGCATTTTCTAGCACCAGCTCAGGAGCACCAGGATTTTCTGCATGCTTGCGCATTTCAGCTTTTAGACTGATCCACAAAAAGGCATCCCCATTACTTCTCAGTAATGGATCCATCTGGCTAATGCTACAGGAATATGGACTGTTGGGGTGGGGAGGAGATGAACACATATTAATTACTGTTTCTGATTTCTCACATCCACAGTATGGAAAAGTGGTAGTTTTTTGGATCCACTACTGTACATCTGTGACATTTCTCTTGTGCCTGTGATTAGGTTCTTTAAGAATGTACGTCCTCAGCTGCACAATATAGCAGATTTTGAATATTTCTGAACAGTTTAGTAAATAAATTTCCTGACAAATGCTGCTGTAAAACTGCCACTCTGTTGGTGCATCAGTGATTTGGGAAAGAAGCAACACAGATCAATTTAAAAAATTGAAGACTTAGGCCAATTTCTTTTTTATTCATAGAAATACTTCTGTGGCTGTACTAATCTGCTATATAATGCAGCTGTGGTCACTGCAAAATAACTACCGAATTTAAGAGCCATGCATCTCAAAAGCTGATTGAAAAATACCCAGAGTTAAATATTACATCAAAGATATCATGATTGCATAGGTTCTCTTAATTAATAACCAAACTTAGCAGTGGCCAAAAGACATGCACAATAAAAACCGTGTGCAGCTCCCGCCCCCTCAGTCCTACCCAACCCTCTGAGCCATTCCCTGATTAAGCCACATTGTAATACCACAGTACACAACTATTCAACACATTGCAAAGGACAGACAGACCAACCAGCTAGACCAGACACCATTCTGAACTTCCAGAGAAGCTTAGCAGAAGCAAGGCAAGTCTTAATCGTGGCTGTGTTCCCCTTCTCATATATAAAGTATCACAGCTCCAAAACAGTGTGTGCAGTTAGGCAGTCCTTTCAGAACACATATAAGTGGTGTGTGAAGGGTAGAGCATGGGGAGTGTGAACAGTGGAAGCAGAAGTGGTTAAGCAAACAACGTGAGGTAACTTCTAGTTAGCGCTGGAATGTACTACTGTACATTAAAGAAGGATGTTCCTAAAAACCCACTGGAGTGTCATGTTAACACACTCGAATGTTAGCACGGCATAACATAACAACAAGCTCTACTTCACCTCCAGAGATGGTAATTATGAAGCTTCAGGAATCCAGTTGCTTTAGAGATTAGTGTGAGCACTATAAAAACTATTACAAGGGAGCACAGCCTAGCAATCATGATTCTCTCCATATTGTAGAGAGTTATAAGAAAATCTGGAGAAAGAGCTCAGATAACTGGACATGAAAAAATTGGTTATTTAGAGAAAACACAGGACTTTAACATGAATCAATTAGAAACAAAGCAGTTATCCCTGGATGATGAATAGAGAACAGAATAAAGCAATGCTGATTTAAGATTGCAAGCTCAACCCAAAGCACATAGCTGTAATACAATCAGTGCATTTTCCCCATTTGTTATATCCACTGGGCATCCCCTCAGATAAGAGACAGGCACACTGAAGATACATAGCCGCATTAGCAAAAGCAAGACTCATTGCTATTAATGAGTCACAGATAGGAGAAGGCTGCTAAAAGTAGAGAAATCACTGACTCTAATAAGAGGAAACAAATTGAAATGATAAAAAAATCTATCCATTTCCATGGATGTATTTCACCCTCAAATACCACTAAGAAAGTCCTGTACCAGCTTCATCCTCCATCAGTCAACAATGGGGTGTATCATACTGCTGTAGCATTTTCCATCCTTTGGACACAGTAAAAAGAGTGAGAATCTGTTGCTGTAAATGAACAAAGTTTATAAAATAGAAACAAAATTATTAATTCCCAACTTACTAATTTTACATATGAATGGCCATTTCCTGAGCTGGTATATTTTCATGAGGAAATAATACATTTTTATAATAAAAGAGACTATCTTCATATATACATGCACCAAAGCATTATTTTTAATATAAGCACCCCTTCCATGTAACTGTGTCTGAAACCAAATGTTTTACTTATATCATCCTTTTCAAAGCAGTGGCAGCTTAATAACCATGCTTTGTATCTGTATGAAAAAAGAATCTGTACATAATTCAGTACTTAACAAAATTTACAGAAATATCATGTGATTTCGTCTGTCAGAAAACATGTGCAAACTGTGCATTCCCCCCCTAAATTAAAATTAAAGCTAAACCTAAGATTGCTGTTGGATCATGTTTTATTTATTCTCAGGAATTAATGATTCTTCACTTTAAGCTTTCTCAAACAATTCATAGGCATTATGGGAAAAATGCAAAACATAATAGCTGAAAGGGACTTTCCCGCTGTAAGCACAACAGTGTTGTAAAAACTTCTTTTAAAATAGTGCAAAAAAGGCAGGTTCCAGTCAAACAGAGAGCTCCATCTTGTGGCAAAACAAACAGAGCTTTCCTCATTCAAAACACAAAGCTGATTTTATATAGCTCAGAGCTGCCTCAGATCCAGATTCAGGACTCAGAGCCTACAGGCCATTGTGCTGGGTGTAAACAGCAAAATAGATATGTTTAGGACATGATCTTCTGCCCAGGGAACACTCAGAGGGCCGTTTAATCTGTGTTTCAACCAGCTTGTGCAGAGGAAGGTACAAAGTTACAGTATGTAAGCTACTGGCCTGCCCCATGCACAAGATGATGTCAAGACAAACTGCGTTTGAGGAATATTTGTAAGAAGTAGCTATACTAAAACAGCTACAAAAACATTGATTTTGTACCACTGGATCCAAACTCAAATTTGCTGAAATAACAGTGAGGAGGCAGAGAGCTCACAGTGACCAGCAAACCTTTTTTTTTTTAATATAAACACCTATTCTGGCAAATGCAGATTTATTAAGAAATTAACTTCAAAAAAATTTATTAGGAAATTAACTTTAAAAAAAATTGGAAATCCTCAGAGTATGACTTGATCCAAATTGGCATAAAGGTAACATTTTAGTCCAATTCTGAAGCAAGCCACTCTACTCATTATTTCAGTGGCACATTTTAAGAAAAGGAGGAAAAAAAGATGGTTCCCTGATCTTTGAGCAGGAACTGCACTGGAATTTGGGCGTTTCTTTAGCACAGGCTGTTGAGACACGGATGAAATGACAATCAGGTTGAGGAGTCCTTACAGCAACAGATAATGATTTGAAACATGAGAAGTTTATTTTATTGCTGAATAGAAAAGAAAAGCTCTGCCTGTTCTGAAAGAAGATAACAAAGGATCACTGAGAGGCATCTGAAGGTGAGAGCTGTGATACTCAGTGCTACCTGTACTGAAAATGCCTGGCTGACAGAACAGGTGGAATAGAGGGTATGCTGAAGCTGATGCCTGGGTTAACAACTACAATAAAAAGGAGATGGGTGATAAATACAACACCTGTAAAATGTGAGCATGGTGCTCTCACAAAGGTGTTTAGGTGCCTTCAGATGTCCTTCAGTAAACACTGGTTTTAGGGGTAACTGTGAATACTTAAAACCTCCAAGAATTCATACATCTATGCCAGGAGTGTTACTTCTGTTATGTTTCTTAAGCAACAAAATTCTTTTCTGACTACCTGCTTTTCCAAACCTTTCACTTATTTTGCCTTTGGAAACAACAAGAGAGGAAAAACTGAACAAAGGCAGATATTCTTTGGACAGGGTCTTCTTCGGGCTGAGGCCACTTTCTCATATGTATGTAATCATGGAGCACAGGTGTAAAAAGACTTCGAAGTATTTAATGTGGCTTCAACACGAGTTTATGCAGGCTAGGATTCCCAAAATAAAATTACAGCATTTTAACAGCATAGACAGCAACTGCTAATAGACTTCTCTTAAAGAAATAATTACTGTAAAATATTCACGCCGTTTAAAAATAAGATATATTTAAATATGAATCAATACCTTAGTTCTAAGAAGAGTTAAAAATTTATTGCTTTTCTGTACAATGTAACCTTTCAGAAGCATGTATAGTAATCCTTCTAAAAACAACTCAAACATAAGACATTCATTATGTGTTTTTATGATTTTAGGCATCTTTTGGAAAGATCACCAAGTCATGATTAAGGTCTAAACATGAAATACAAGAGTGCTGATTCCATAATGCTGTGCACACATCTATTCAGAGCAATCAATCAGTGGAACTAAAACACCAGTACTGAAAGACCAGTTCATGCACCCAATACTAGCAGGCAATTAAACATATGCTGCATCATGTAGCCCTTCCAACTTCAAAATTAGAACATTCATAACATTATTCAGTGCTTTGAATGGCTTGTTCGTTTTGTTTGAATTAAAAACCCACAACAAACCAAACAAAAAACCAACCCCAACAACCCCTCCCTCCAAGACAGATTCTGTACAGTTTTATAACATACTACATTTTCTTTCACAGAACAAAAATTTGTGCTGCAAAAATTACTTGCCCTAGATGGTATTAAGAACACTGTGTCCTGTAACTTCTTTACGATACCAATTATGCTGAGTGTATACACAAGTCATATAAAAATTTCAACCTCTTCCTGGGTATTAAGCTAGAACTGCAATACTGAAATTCACAATCCTCCCTAAAGTTACTCTACCCACACACAGCATGTGGCTCCAACAGACCAACTGCAGATCATAAAGTACATACATGTTCATTTCTTCTGAAATGTCCAGTGCCATAACTGGGATAGAATATGCATTTATGGTGAGGAAACTATTTTATATATCAGAGGATACTACAGGTTCCAACACAGGGACAGGAAAATTCAAGGATTGTAACTCATGAATACTCTGCCAGAGAAGATCTCCAGTGCAAAAATGACAAGATACAAGGCTCAGAGCATACAATACAATGAAGCAGAAACCTGCCCAACAGACTAAGGTGACCTACACCTGCTGGGAATGGTCCTTGTAGGCACTGTATTACTAAAGACATTTTGGTCTGAGGCTAGAAGACCTGTAGCTCTAGACTGGCACGCTTTATGGCCTGCAAACAGCAACTGTATGATGATACTTTTTATAAATGTCTTGAACTAGATTTTTCCACAATGGAGCTATCTTGGATTACAAGCAAAAGCACTATTGCTAAAGACTGTGTCCAAGATATTTCTCTCCTTCCCTTTTTATTTTACTTCCGCATTTTCTAGCAAGAGTTTATTTTGTACACTGCCAACTGGAACCTCCCTTGGAATCATGCAAGCAATGAGGCTGGAACTTTGGACTCATGACAGGGCTCTAAGGAGCCACACGTCCTTACACACCCCTACCTGCCTTGCATTTCTTCCAGAGAAATCTAGGAGAAAGAATGCTGAAAAGGCTTTTTCAAGAGAAGCAATGGCTATTTACATAAAAAATAAATTCATAAGCTAAGCATGCAACTCTTCTCCCAAAAGGAATTCTTCAGTAGGCAGATTGTAGATACTAAGAAGTACTGCCTCATTAGTAAGTGCCTACTCTGAAAACATCCACAATTGTTTTCTCCCAGTATAACATCTGACAAAGCACTTCACCAAGAAGCAGATACAGCAGTGTCTTTACTTAATTTGAGCAACACAACCAGTAATGAGGTGGTAGCTCATGGATACTCTTAAAGCCTAGGCAGCTGAACAATTTGAAAGGAGGATGGGAAATCAAAATTTTCAGTGCACTTGTTCATTCTTAGTTATTAATTTTTTACCCATTTATTTCTCTAATGTATTAAAATTACCTAGAGAACAATACAAAGTGAAGTAGGATTGCTAGAACAATTTCATAGATTTTACCTATTTCGCCAATTTATAATGTAGGGAATTTGCTGAAAACCCTTGTCCGAGACAGAGTTTTCCCAGGAAAAATTAGCAGTAACCAGTAAATAACCTATTAATAACAGTGACCTGTATTCAAATCATAATGTAGACAGAAAATGGATGGAAATACCAAACTTTCTTGCCAGTTTGTAATCACAGAGCAGGGCTAGATTTATTGTTCTACTCTAAAGAAAGAACTCTTCCACATTATTACCCAGAAATGTTTTACTAATCCATTCTTAAAAAAAACCAAAGGACCCAAACTATGTCCTTGTCTATGTATAGCTCATGACAATCAGTTTTTCTACATTTTTGACATGTTCCTTTGTAGAAAATTCTTACAATTAGAAAATTGTTCAAAGTGTAGCCCAAGCAACTAAGCAACTTTTTTGCACAATTACTGTATCCTGAGTATATGAAGAACTGCTTGTTCCCTTCCTCTGTGCAGCAACACACTTTAAAATTAATATCTTTTGTTGAATTTTTTATTCCCTTGATCCTAAAAATGCCAGTTATTTCAGTCTTTGATTATATCAGTCTATGTTTCCCCTTATATCTCCAGCTTTTCTTGCTGTTGTTACCCAGACACTTCAAAATTATAAAAACCTGGATAATATCCAAAATGGTACAAAACTCCTGCAGAGGCATTATTTATTTCCATATCATTATAAAAAAATAATATAAACAATATTTCTGGGCAATAGATCTCTTAGAACAAAGACAATTTTTGCCAATTGAAAGGGAAGCTGAAGGGTTTGAATATCAAAGAACTGGAACAGGCTGCCCAGGGAAGTGGTTGAGTCTCTGTCCCTGGACGTATTTAAAAGACCTGAAGATGTGACACTTAGGGACATGGCTTAGTGATGGATTTGGCAGTGTTGGGTTAGCAGCTGGACTCAACGATCTCAGCGGTCTTTTCTAACCTTTATGATTCTATGATTTCACCTTAATACATCTGAATGCAAAAAGTAGCTTATATTTAATAGTTGAAAGCACTGAACTACCACTGCAGTGAGACTTAAAGATACTCTGCATGTCATGATAATAACAGATATATTATTGTTTAGCCCTGAGACAATCTAATCTTCTGAAGACTAGCCAAATATTAAATTATGATTTATCCCAGAAAAAGGAAAGGGAAGGAAGTGTCTCCATTTAAAGTAGTTACATAAAAACAAGAAATCTGAAAAAAAAGGAGTTCTGGTAATTTTCTGATTCTTAAATATAATTCTTCACCAGATTTAAATCTTAATGAAGATTATATAGCTTATTAAAACAAAACCCCCCAAAACCCAATAACAAAAAAGAAACCACACAAACTCAAAACACATCTATAGTCTTGAGAACCTGTAACCTTGTGCAATAACAGACCACTAGTGTCAGTTCAGTGTGTCTAGTAATTCATGCAGTACTGTGTCACTTAAAAATGTTTACGTCTTAATAGGGTAAAAAAAGGAAGGACAGGATTTAACAGTGTGGTCGAGAGGGAATGAGAGAAATGTCATTAGTCACTGCATACAAACATCCTCTTAATTCTTTATCTCAAAAGGGCTTTAAAAACAGGTTACTGTACCCGAGGTAAGTGAATTACACTTACAGAATTTCTTTGGTGATTTTCGAGGCACTTCCATTTGTTTCAGCAAAGGCAACTTAGTTGCACCTTTATGTAGTGGTTTGAACTTTAGAACACCAATCTTTGTACAAAAATCTACAGAATGGCAACACCTCTTATGAACAGTCAGAAGAGTATCTGCACTACAGTCATACAAAATATATGTAATCCATACATTACATACACTAAACAGCGTGCACTAAATACACATACAAGTTGCACACGTGCCACACAAAGGTTTGTGAACAAACCACTTCCTTTTAGCAGCCTTCTCTTATCAAAATAGAGTAAAATATTGACCACAGATGCTGTTACTGAAAAACAAATTAAAATATTATCAAGGAAACGATTTTTGAGCAAATGTTAGAATGGTTATGTTCTAACCACTGCACGCATTAACGTGCAGATGCTACACACAAAGCGATATTATGGATGCTGTTCTGGAGAGACGTGAGAATGGCCCAGTAATCAAAATCCTGAAAAGATGTCAGTTTTACTGGACTTAATGAGTTTCCCTCACCAGACCCCTCATCATCGTCAGTCGCGGACTCCTGCATCTCCTCTGTGAAAGCCTGAGATTGGCGGGGGTTATTCTTGTTGTCTGAAACAGTCACTTGTGCTTGTGACCTCTCACCTGAGGTCTCTGTGTGCTGAACTGGCGTCGAGGTAGTTAGGCCCTTGTAAGAAATGTCACCTGTCTCATCTTCCTCATAGTCATTAAGGCAGTACACTTCATCCAGGTCCAGGTCTAGGGTCCTGAAGCCCTTAGTGACAACTCCGGGCCTTGGGTCCAGGATCCCACCTAAGTGAGGCTGAGCCAGCTGCTGCCAGTGGTGCAAAGTGGCAGAACCTTGAAAGGGAACAGAAAGACAACAAAAACAAATTAGTAATCAATCGAGGACCTAAAAGACAGAAAGTCCCACTTTGTTTATCCAGAAGACCAAAGGTTTGGAAGCTCCAAACCTTTAATGTTTCTGGGTTTAATATTTCTAAGAAGACATGCTACAAGACAAAACTGCTTCACCTATGCTTCAGCATTTCCACATCAGTGTGAAATAAACTGATCACATCAGCACTTAGGCAAAGCCTGGTGGTGAGCTGTGGCAGACTTGTGCATGTGCACATGCCCTCCCTGTAAATACTCTCATCCCTTTCAATTCATGGGATTAAGCAGGAGCAGAAAGAATTTACATTTAACAGTTGATCTGAGCACCATCACAGAAAGCTCTAAGAGGAACATAAACCACGTATTCCCATGTTAAGCTCACACTAAGACGGGTGCTGAAAACATGCCAGAATCTACCACCAGTGGCTAACGGGAGGACAGTAGTCACACAGATTGTACAGCAATTTTGGCTGTGTACTACATGTTAGATAGCCCCATGAACTTCAGGCACGTGTAAGCAGATAATACTTCTGAACTATACATCAAGTCTAAATACCTGTATAGCTCCTATGCTACAGGAACTCAACTACTATGTAACTAAATGCTACTGTACCTGTAGCTTCATCCTTGGCAGAGAAATGTTTTGAGGAAGGAGGTACATTTTACAGAGAAAAGCATTTAAAATTCAGTGTTTAATAGGAGGCAATTAGTCAGAAACAGCAATGGATCGAGATAAACTGATATATACACTGAGATGGGCCCACTGCAATCAGGGGAGGATTTATCTGATTCCTCAAGTAGTGATTAAACACTGCTTGCAAGGGCCCATGTTTTCCTATGTGCCCACCATCACTACTGTGTTGAATTGTGTGACTTAAAACCATACATGCCCTATGACACAAACAAAAAAAATCTGTATTTTCATCTCTGCCAGCTCAAATCAGAACAGTTTTTGTTGTCTTATTCCTGTCCCCTCTCCCCAAAGCAGAATACTCATTCAATGAGCTGGCACACAAATGCCTCACTCATATTCAAAGACTAAGATATTGTTCAGTTCATTGCTTGGTATATGTAAAAACCTAAACAACTGCAATAACTAGAGAAGGGATGGCTCTTACATATATTATTTTGCATCTGAGAAAAATCCTATGGAATGAGAAAAACTGTCATTTCTAATAAGGATATTTTATTTCGGGAAGCTTACTGTGGAATAGGAAGTGAACAGGGAAAAACTCTGTCTCCAGAATGACTGGGATCTGTGGGCAGCATTTTAATTAAGCCTATCTCACTTTTTCTGTAATTTTTAGCTCAGAATAAATGGATCTGCTTTTTTTTTTTTAATTTAAAGTAAGTTTTGAGGGACTAAAGAGGATTGGAACCCTTGAGTTGAAACCATTATAACCCTCAAATAGATAAACGTAAAAAAGAGACATCCATATAACCTGTATTTACTTCTGAACTATCACAAAGGACAAGTTTTTTTGCTTCTATATAAAAGAAATATCCCAGAATGTGAACAAAAGCCAGATATTGTCAAGCGTTAACCAAGGTTTACTGTCAGACTATACTCCAAGAATTAAAGAAAAATGGCAATCAAAATTTCTTTCTGCACTGCATGCAAGTATAAAAAGTTAATTAACTTCTAGGTGCTAGTTTCTGACCATGTAATCTTTTTCACCTTAAATCTCACCAAATCTTATGCTTAAAATAAACTCTGCAGAATACAAGCCTTTAGTTGTTAATACATGTCATCTCATAGGAAAGACATTCACCGAGATATCTGCATTTTGAACTTTAACATTTCCACTGAAACTACATGTTACTGATTTCTTTTGGAACCTGGAAATCAAAACGGCCTAAGCTTCATCACAAAAAGGAGGATATCTGAGTTTAATCTTGATCTCATAAAATGTGTGTAAGGGATCTTTACCTTTGCCATGCAGAAAATTAACACAAATGTACAAACCAATGCAACAGTTGTAAATATCCAATAATAAGAAAAAAAGTTGCAAAAGTCAAAAAAAGTGGGAAATACAGCACCTCCTTGGCCTACATTCAGTCCCACGCAACTACTACTGTTCTGTAAATTATGCTATCAGAAAAGGTTGGCATGAGGGAATTACTGTGCAACAGTGGGACTGCCAAACTGAAGGAAGAAGGAATATAAGACCAAAATATGTGTATGAACGGAGTAAATGATTTTTTTTTCCCTATATTTCTGATACCCCTGCATGATTGGATGCAGACTGTAAGGGTCAGAGAACGCTTAGAAATTCACAATGTGTTGCTGTCACAACTGCAATAAAGTGGGTGAAGACACAATCAGTTCAAGGTTTTAGTTTTTCTACAGGACACTGGTAGTGCTATTTCATGCTCATGGCACAACAAGCTACAAATGCACAGTTTAAAAAAGAAAGCAAAAAGCCCCCCACTAGACTGCAACTAAAGCATGTCACATCAAGCAATCCTTCTGTTTTGACTAAAAGAAAGCATGGGTTTGTTTTTTTTAAAGGTGCAAAAGATGATTAATTTCTTAGTACTTCTGTCACCCTATTTATTTTACTGTGGAATTAAAAGAGTGCTTTAAAGGAGTAGAAGTCATTAACCTGAAATTTATTACAGGACTAATTTTTATTTCTTCCATTTTATGGCATGAGCACTCTTAGTAAAACACTAATAAAACCAAAGGCACAACTACTGATGACATTCCTCTGGTACAGCAGACTATTTTGCCCCAGTAGTCTGAAAGCATCTATGAAGCTGAAAACAAAAATTAAATCTCATGAAAAATACTTGGGAAAGAAACTAAGCTGAAGCGAAGAACAATATCATAAACATGTAGTTAATGAAAGTTAGCAAACGCTAAACTTATGAAACAGGCAGACGTAAACATACTACAAATAAGATCTAAAATCAAACACAGGAAATACTTTAAATGGTGCAATAATTTTAAGAGAAAAATGACTCAGTGAGAACAATAAACAAAACCAGGAAAAAAAAAACCCAGACAGATAGAAAGATGATAAAGACTTTAAGAGTTTATTGGAAGAAAAAAGAGGATATAATGGGATGATGACAGAAATCTATTACAGGGGTAGCAACCAGAAACTGAAACAAAGCTGGATCATCATTTCCCTCATGTGGTACAAGAATTTTATGACCATTTAAAAGCAGCCATGAAAACAAACTATTAAAATCTGCAGGACAGTATGGATTTGTGTGCTACAGCTATCGTTTCATTTGAGTAGGTAGAAACAGTACATCACTTTCTTCAGGACATAAGAATGCTTATTTTTGCTTCTGAATATGTGTCATGCTAAATGCTCCTTATATATGAAATAAGTTAGCTCTAAAAAGATGAAAAAAAGGAACTTCTGCAATTAAAACACACACAATTGTAATGTAATACAAGAGTTCTGTTAAAGGAAAAGAGAGAGAGAGAAGCCAAAGCTAAATGATGTTAACTAGTGTGTCTGTGAAACAGGAAAACTACAGGAAAACAGATTCATTTTGTTCAAAACCTTAAGGAATTTACTCGACTAACTTCCAGCTACAACCTGAAAGAACTGAAGAAAGCCAGCCAGACTATATAGTATGTTCTCTGTCAGCTTTTTTAGACAGACTACTGAACTGAACTTAGAAATAAAGCTCCAGCCCTGACTATGATCTACCTGTATCTTACCTTTTTCTGAGATAATATATGAAGGAAAACTGACTTCAAAAAACTCCACCTATTTCACACGTGAAATGCAAAGCCATAGTGACTCATGTGTGACCACTCAAACAGCCAATTAAAATCCATAGGTTATTTTTAATCACTGAAGTAGTCTTACAACTGGACCAATTAAAGTAGGTAAAGATCTTTCCAGACATTAATTTACAGAATTCTTGTTGTTTAGATTTCATATACTTATCCACCATCCTTTTCCAAATATGAAATGGCAACATTTAGGTCAGTTGTAAAGCTGCACTGCTGATACACATGTGGCCTGTAATATTTATTTTACTGCCTTGGCTGGAGTTGTTTCTTAACACTTTTAAGGCTTGCGGGAAAATATAGTTTTTAGAAGATCTCAAACCAACATCGTGGATTACTGTCTCTAAAGTAAAAAGAATACGTATTGCAAAGATTTCCTGCTTTCTGGTGATGGATAAGAGACCATAAAGAGTCACTAAGAACAACAGATAAAGGCCGAGGCCCTTTGTTATCACCTTCTAGTGGTTTCACAATCTGAAGCTTTTCTGGTAGGTAGGAGCGACTGCTGATAGACATTCCTGAATATCCAGTGAATTCTGAAAATCTGGAGTGAGTTCCCAGTGACATGATGCTCTCTGTGGGGGTAACAGAACCACTATGGAGTTCTCCCTTTTCTGCCAGTTCCCGCAACTTCCTTTCCTGCTCTTCTTCAAAGAACTTCCGTTCCGAGAGGTAATTCTCCCGCCTGAGGGAAAGCCTACGAAGGGCAGTCTCTAGGTCACTGGAGCCTGGTGTCCCTGGAGTTCCAGGCTTCTTCATCCTGTCCTCATTTCTAAAACATAAGAAGGGACACAAAAAAAAAAAAGGTAGGGGGGAGGGAGAAGAACACATTCTTAGAAATGCTTAAAACTTCCACATGACAGTTTTTCACCAGTACCTTTAAATTACTATGTCTGGCAACAACTTGCTACTTGTCCGGAGAGCCCAAAGGCAAACACCAATCTTTTGTTTCTGTTTCATACTACAACAGTTTTGAAATCTAGGTTCTGCCAGGAAACTCCTGGTTGGAAAACCTGCACTTACGAGCCTACTCCTACCAAGAGATGAGAGATGACTTCTTGTTGTATGCCTTACAGTTAGACAAACTCAAGTAAGCAGGCCACATCTTACAGGGCCAAATGATGCAAGAATACCACAGTGAGTCACAAGAGTATATTATGCTGAAAAACATATATTGTTTTGAGGACTTAAGTCGCTTTTACTGAAAAGTATATACAGCATAGTGTGGAAATGTACTGGGGGAAGAGACAAGTAGCTAGCTAGAAAAATGAAGTTCTGATTGGTTTCATTCACAAGTTTTCATATTAGGTAACCTACAGATGCAAACTTTATTTTTAAGATCAAAAAAGTTAACTGCAGCTGCAACTGAGATCAGAACTCCCTGGCATTTACATAAAATGGTGAAAATACAATTACTTTTAAGTATCAGCCCATAGTTGCAAAAACAAGGGTGGCTTTACATCATCTGGAGATGCTGCATCTCAGAACAGGCGTGAGTTGCAGACACTGATTGATACACAGTAGTGTCAAAAACGGTTCCTTTTTAAATAAATTTGAGTGCTCAAAAACTGTAACACAAAAAGAGGAAAACAGAAACGCTTTGCCTTTATGTCAGAAGCAAAGCAAAAGCAAAGTCCAGGGCTACAGTACTGACCCATTGTCAGAGGATTCTGTCTCTAAGATGATGCTATTGGTCTTGTTGTCTATCATAATGTTAGAGATGTCTCCCCCATAGAAACTGGAACGTGGAGTGCTGACGCAGCTAGAAATGACTGAGTTCATAGCAGAGGACTGGTTAGAGCCTGGGATATTCATTGGTGACGGAGTCATGGATCTCTGCTTGACAACTTGATTAACATTTCTCACTGTCTCGAAGACCCGCTTCTGATGACTGAAAGACATAGCACAGTTCATAATTACACAGTACCCTCTTACCTTAAGAAGGAACAGAGAAAAAACAAGTAGCAGCTTATTAACAGCCCTTGCTATTCACAGCTCCACCAACCACTGTGGTTTTATGTATAGTTTCTGTAAAGTGGTATGCAGAGGGTCCTATACTTGCTACAGTCTGGCCATTAATCAATCCATCAACATAATTCTTCCATCACCCTAGAGTATTTTTGACAGAACATTTGACAATTATGTGCATGGACCCTTTCAAATATTAATAAAAAATAAGTGAAAGAGCATTTCAGTACATCAGCTAAAAACGCTCTAAAGCCATTATGTGGAAATGAGTTTTTAGAAAACAAAATTGATCTCCATTCAATTCTTAACTATGAACTGGCTAATCCGTTTTAAAAGAGAACTTGAATTTATTCTCCTGAGTCGCTCTGTGAAAGCAAGTGTTGCATCTTTTCTCTTTGAAACCAATTTCTAATACCCTTAAAGAGTAGTGGGTTTTTTTGGAAAAAAAAAAAAAAAGGAAAAAAATCTCAGAAATATAACAGACAAGAGGCTAGAAAGAGGCTGTCAAGGCTGAAAACCTAATTTTTGACCTAGTTTCACAGTTCATTTTTATCACCATTTTCCCGGTGATTGTCCATAGCAAACACTGTTCACCCGCTTCAAGATTAAGATCAGGTGACACTTCAGCAGCAATTTCTTGACAAAATAAAATTGCCCCACATCATGCTACACAAGTGCCACTGCTGCTTTGTTTTACAGTTCAACAGTGGATGAACACAAGAACAGCAGATTCCTTTTAGCTGAAAGGTAACACTGCCAGGATGTAGCAGCGACAGTATGCCTTATGCTATTTAATGTCATTCAAATTTCTTTCCTTCTATCCACGAGCGCTCAACAGTTGCACTCTTTGTGTGTAGGCTCCAAGTCTGTAGCTATATATCTTTAAGAGGCTGAATCTAAGGGCATTTATCAATAAACAGTCCCATGGAGGTTACAACTACTAGCACTGCACATGTAAATAAAACTAAGACAAGTCATGCAACCAAAAAAAAGTATCCTCCTTTAGTACATGCAAAGCGTCATAAAAGACATTCTAAAGAAGTTAAACAAGCCTTAAGTTAGATTATTCTGGAAAGACAAAAGGATCCTATAGGGTTTGAGCATGCTCACATCTTTCTGACCTTACACTTTCCTAATCAATATTTAACTCTGTCAAAGCCTCATTTACAATTTTTGGCTCCTGCTCAGAGAAGGTTAATGTATAAGTCAACCTTTTTGTACACGCGATTAGAAGGTTTCTGGGAAGTGCCTATTGTACCTTCTGACTGTCCTTTCTTTGTAAATTCTGTTTCTCTAACAGACCCACTAAACTGGATTAACTTGTTTCCAATTAAACAATCCATGCTTTGTACAAATCGGTGAGATAAACCCATTGGAATACAAGTGCAGCTGGCGTCAGTGAGGCCATTTCTGCCAAGCTGTATCTATCTATAGCTTCTGGACTGTCGCAAGTACTTAACTTGTTCCAAACTACTCCCTTGTTTAATTCAAGAGAACTTTAGCACAGATGTAATGGGTATCACACTGTAAGTACCCAACCATTCCAAATCCCTTTCTGCACTGACGTTCTTCCTCCAAAACTGGATTAGATCAATAATCACCTGGCATAAATGTTATAAAACCCGAAGAGAAAACCCACTAAATTGAACTCCTCCCCTAAGCATGGGAAGAAACCTAGCATGGTAACACACAAGAAAAGAAAACTTCTAATTCTCAGCACTCACAAATGAGGACAAAAAGTTTGTAAGACAAGGTAAAACCTATATATAGGTGTTTTCTTTTGGCAGTTTTAGCAGAAAAATAAACAACCCCAATAACTAGACAATTTACTTTTCTTTCTCTCTGTCATTCACACTTGGCCAGAAATATTTCTTTCTAAATCTGTAGCTCTACTATTTCCTGTCTTTCTATTTCTTATTCCATAATAATTAACTTCAGATATAATCAATCAATTAGGAACCAATTCTTTTCAGTCGTACGCCAAATCAGGAGAGTCGGGTTCATCTAAATGCAGTTCTTTCCTCATTGACCCTTCTATCTCTGCTGCCAAAGAATCCTGTTAAAAATAAGCACAAAAGAGAAAAAAAAAAAATCACAGTATTAATATTTTCCAGAAAATAAAAAAGGTTTAAAAATTTAAATTGACTTGAACTCTGGAAGACTAATGTAGATATTTAAAGCACTGATAAAATGTGGCTTAGCTTCATTCTGCTACAGTTTTTAACACCTAATGACATACAATATCTGTCAAAAGAACCTAAAAACAAAATCCCAGGCAACAACAGAATTCAGGTGCCCCAACTTCCTGGACTGAATTCCCTACTCAGTAACACTCACCCTTCACATATAAAGTTTTGCTTGATAGGTTTTCATTTAAAATAAACAGAAAACACTCTTCTCTTTCACAACATTACCCAACCATCCACAAAGACAAAATGGTTCCTGGCATAAAGCATTACATACTTCCCCTATAAGGTTACAAGTGACAGGCCATCCATTTTCCATGGCTGGTCAGTCAGTTTTACTGCTGGGTGTAGAGTATAAGTGTCAAATATTCACAAACCTAAATGATCTTTCATGCCATGCTTCAACATTTGAAAATCATTTTTACACAAAACACATAAACCTATCTCAGCACAAGCATACTGTTTGCAGCTTTCAACTGAATTTTGTGCAAGCACAACTTGTATTATTAAACATCTGCACTTTAAATTGGCCTGTGTTCAGTCTAAGAAGGGAACACAAAAAGGCAAGCTAAGCCTTTGCTGGCAATTTACTTGTGAGCATAAATAAAATGCGTTCTTCCTCAGCAGTAAGACAAGACATGGCTAAAGATAAGGAAGGCCAGATTCTGCTGCTTGATTGCATTAATGTAATTCAAAGGAAACCACTGATACCACTGCCTTTAGAAGTAATGGAACTATTCTAGAGATATACAGGCAAGCAGAGCCAGTCACTGGACACATTCTTCTCATCTACTCTTTTTTACTCATTTTCGTTGATGGTACTGCATATTCCCTGTGTTTTAAATGTCATAATCACATGAAATCACTGAAACTGCCAAAATTGGTTGCCATAATACAGATTAGCAACAAATATTCGTTTAATGAACCACTGAATTTTCAGTGATCCTAAACCAAGAAGATTAAGTGTAACCCTATTTTTAGTACTGAAGAACTAGAATGTAGATCATAAGAGACTAGAAAGATGCTATGTCTGGAAATCATTGTTATCAGGAAGTTATATCTTCAACAATACTGAAAAACAGGAAGTCCTAATGCTTTCTACTGAAGATCAGCACCCTAGTACAGCAGATGCATACCAAAGATGCACGGATTACTGTAATAACCTGTTAATGTTACCCATGACACACAGCATAAGCACAGCCAGCTGCAGGTTGTATACAACACTGCAGCAAAACCAAGTAGCTGCACACCACCACTGTTTCAGAACCAGTTATGCAAAACTGATCACTCAGGTATCCTTTAACATTATACAAATACACATTTCACCCATGCTTATGTCTGGCCCAGCATCCTATCCCCAAAGCTGTAATTCAGATGAGAACACTTGCTTTGCTTGGTTGTTCTCCGGTGTGTGCAGGTTTTTTTCTTAAATCTGCTTACCATAGGGAAGAGTCCAAGGGAGTGGTACCGACGTGATATAGCATTTGGCATTGTCTTGTTTCTGAGGTTTTTCAGCTCTTCTTGAGCCTCATGAAGCATTTCCATGCACTCTGCATACTTGTCTTCCAGCTCTCGCAACTGTAACATATAGAAAACAGTACAACACCTTATGGGGTGCACTATTATAAAAAGTCTAGAGATTCTTTTCACACTGGTAAGCGATAACGGTGTAGGGAAGAATATTCCCCTTAAAAGGAACAGAACTCCAACAAGTCACTGTAACTGAAAATCATTAATAACATGGATTACTCTGATCAGCTTTAGTGGCTAATCACTGCCACGATAACCACAGAGGAAAACAGTGCGGGCAGAGGACAAGACTTTTCACAATGTTCCAAAGGATTTTGGAATTTTAAAACCTATACTTGAATGCATACATACATATACACATATAACCTTCAACAGCCTAAGACCATGCCTCACTTTTAGCTTGACTTTCTGAGGAAACACATCTTATGTAATCTCTCTGTCTGCAGATGTCTGCATACCCTCACAGTTTTTGAGTTTATCGGCCACTTCAACCAAGTCTGGCAAAGGGGTAGAATTCTAAAATACTGCAGTCCTACAAATTTCATAAAAATAAGCTATTTGGCTTAGAAACAGAGATCCTGTCCATTTTCTTTCCTAAGAAAGCGATGGAGAAGAATGAGCTCAATCTTTTTGGAGCCACGCAGATACAAAAGGTCCACCAGCAGGAAAAGCTTCTCTGGGCATTCCCACCTTCAATGCCAAGTAGTCCAACTACAACACACATCCTAAGGGGATTGAGCTTTATTCATTCTATTTTGTCCACTTTGTTCATGCGAATATAGTGCCCAAAAGACATTCAGCAATCCTGGACTGCCTTCAGTTCATTCACCGAACAGAGTTCAAAAGAGCTCTTCCATGTTATTTCACTATTCAAAATAGGCTTAAACTATCAGCCTAGAGAAGTCAACCTCTGAAGGGGTTCCTACACAGCTATAAGCTTCTGCTTTTGAAAATGTATGTTAGTTGAAAGAGGAGAGAATAGGAAGGAGAAAGTTTTGAATTCTACTAGGAACATAAATGTTCCTTCATTCCATATACATAGGCCAAATTATTTAATACTTCTCATCCAGCTTAGACTAAACCTCTCATGGCAAAGTGAACACTCATTGCCCTGCTACTAAATTATTGTCTTACTAAGTAATGTACTCACCTCTGCTGTGAGCTGTCTCTGGGCATCCTTAGCTGCTCCCAGATGCTGGACAAGTTCCTCATTTTCAACTGCACACTAAAATACGACAAAAAATGTTAGAAATACTGTGATGTTTTGTCCTGTGATGATATTTGTATCAAAATTCTAACTTTTCTCAAACCTCCTCTGCAGCAATATTAGTCCACATGTTAGTTTAAAAACATTTAAAATGTTAAGACAAGAACACACAGCATCAGACTGTACACTGCTGAATGAACCTCCAAATGAATATGTGCCCACTGAAATACTTGACTGACATTCTTGTATTACCAACGTTACTCAACGCAGCATTTTACATCTAATATTTAAAATAAATTTAACATTGCATTTGACAAATCATATATGCATCTTCTAATAAATTGATGCTTTCTAGTCAAGTATGCTAGATATTAAACATCAAACAAGGTCACCCACATAAGGAGAATGGAAAAGTTCCTTTTGGCTCTAGAACACAGAGGATTGTAACCTGTCCTCCAGCTACATTAGTAGCAAATAGCAGAAGTCTCACAACTGGATTCCTTACAGCTTTGGCCTTTTTCTGCAGATCGACTATCTGAGAGAGAAGATGGGTGATTTCTTCTTGTTGCCGGGCAGCATCTTCAGTTTTCTTTGCTAACTCTTCGGAGATATTGGCAATCTGGATGTTTGCATCCCCTTTAAGATAAGTGATTACAATTAACACCACAAAACCAAAAGCAGAAAAGTAAGCATAAAGATGTTCTTTTGAAACATCACTTGATTCAGCAGAATCCTACTCTGATACACAGTAAGGCACTTTTGAAAAATAACATTGGGACACAAAACCTGAAAGACGTCAAGTGCTCATGCTGCAAAGGAGACTGTACTTTCCCGTAACCTTTTCAATGCCAAACTATTTTTAACTGAAAAAGATTCAGCTTACAGCCAGCATTTTCTGCTGTTAAATTTCAGCCAGAAATTTTCTACTCATTTCTTTAAGGAAAATAATAGTCATAGAAAAATATAACTGACTGGGGCTTTTTTACTGAACTATCTCAAATGAAAAGTATAAAGGAGTAGGGACATACTCAGCTCTTTTACGCAGTCGTTGACAAGCTGTTGTTCTTTCTCTTCATAAGTAATTGTTTCAGTCTTCAGCTGACAGGCCTGTTCAAGAAATCCACATCAAATATGCTACATTAGCACATTTGTTCTTTGCCAGTCTGTTGTTGCACTTCCATCTGCTTCAGAAAGACAAGCTATTCTAATCACTCCTTCATGAAGACAGCGAAAAAACTACAGTTTTTGCCTGCCCTCCCTCATGTTCTGGAAAAAAGGGTCAGGTGAACATTCAGCAGAGACATTACTGTATGGAGAAATTTACATCATTATCACCATATCCCCACTAGATGTCACTTGTGTATTTTGCACTAAAAATAAAAAAGAAAAACCATAAAACCAAAAAAACCCGAACATACAAAAAAATGAGTATGCAGAGCTTGATTTGGTCACCTGAGCAAAGCTAGGTATCATCACAAACTAAATAAATGCTTGGTTTCAATAACTGAATTAAATATTGAAGTATTTAAAAGACATTCGGATATTATTTGAAAAGTTCTGGCACCATAACTATATACCCCACTAAAACCCTCAGTGCTGCCTCCTTCCCTGCTTTGTCTTTTCTGCTCTGATTCTAGGAGTGCCAAAAGCAGTGTGGCTACAGCCAGCTGGTTCTGTCTGGCACCACGTTGGTGGGTCTGTAATCTATCCCCAGTGCTGGGGCAATGCACAGACACCCATGGACTGCATCTGTAGAGAACTGCACAGCTCACAGGTTTCAGGTTTGGCTTCATCCTGTGCCTTCCTGGCAGGCACAGACAGCACCTCCTTGGATGGGAAGGCAGTGATACTTGGGGTTGTCCAGTCAGCTCCTGACACAGCGGCTCTCTCAGTTCTAACCCCACCTTCATTATTCTCAGACCATCTATTGCTCATCTTCCTTGAGCAACTTCTCAATCAAGTGTATACAGCAGTCTCCATTACATGGTATCTTGTGCAAAGGTGTGACACTATCTCTTTATAATGGGCCCTGCATTTGCAGTAGAAAATGGTAATGACACTGTTTTCATACATTCATTCTTAGATCAAAAGTATCTCTTCAGCTATACTCTGCTATGTGTTTGCAAAGTGATAAAAAGCTCCCAAGGTTAAACGTTGCACTGAGAACATAAAATTATTCACTCTATATTCAATTATGAAGTATTATTTCTGACAGAGAACAGTAAATAAACTTTTAAAAAGTGTGTCATCTGTGAAACAAACAGAATATTATCAGAAATAAAAGACAAGAAAAACACATTTAATTTAAATTATTAACTGCCTGAGTTGAAACACAAATTGAAGAAAGTTAATGCAAATTTAGGGTAGCAATTATTATTTTGACCAACACTGAATTTGTATCAGAGAGACCATGCCAACCTACAAACTTCAGATCTGCAGCTACAGTCACATGAATCTACCATGTCAGCTCTTTATTAAGACCTGTTTCAAAGTGCAGTGCTGAACTTCAGATTTGATCTGCCCATGCTCCTGCACATTCTTTTGGCACAAAAACTGCTTTGCATGTAGCTTCATTCAGGAAGAATTTCTTCATGGAAATGGTTAAGCACTGGAAGGGACCGCCCAGGGAGGTGGTGGAGTCACTGTCCCTGGAGGTGTTCAAGAAATTACTGTCTTAGTGCCTTGGTCTAGGTAACAAGGTGTTGATCAGTCAGAGGTTGGACTTGATCTTAGAGGTCTTTTCCAATCTAAATGGTTCTGTGATTCTATGTAGCTTTCACATTTCAGTCTTTCCTTCATTTAGAAGGATAAAGGATGGTGATCAAACAACTACAGAGAGATCTGCGTCACAAATGGAATTATATACTCTTAGTTAGACTCTCTCAACTTTTAATACACGCTTCCCAATACCTGTAGTTCTGGCATTTAACTGAACAACTATATTAAGCAAAACACAAAGGGAGCAGTTTCACCTCAGATCTAAGCACAACATTTTCCTCTTCAAGGTCCTTGAGTTTCTTTTGAAGAGAGTCCAAATGAAAGTAGTTCTGGACGGAGGAGGAAGATTCATTCCTCTTCAGCCTTGTAACAAAAGCAACAGTTTTAACTCATTTTTACCTGTATTACGGCCGATCTTGCAGAACAACAGACTGAACAGAGGTCTCAAAACAAAACAGCGACATGAAATACAGCTTATTCATACTTTTGGGCAGCAATAAATTTGCAGTGAATTTTAAAAGAGAACATTTTAAAACTGTATTTGTTATTCCACACATTTCCTATGAAAAAGTTATTCAGCCAAGGCTGTGACAAAAGAAACCACCTTACTACAGGGAGCAACTCAATAGCTCCTGATTAATGCTGCACACGCTTCACCAGAATGCAGCAATAACTCTGCAAGGGCAGACAGCCCCTCAGAGCCTGCAATGCTGTTCAGCCAGCTAATTGCCTGGAACCCACACTATAAGCCATTCTTTCTCGCTTTCTCATCTTGGAATTTTTCCATAGTGCCTTTAGGTCCTTCAAGCACAAAGGTCACACATGTAGCATGTTCTAGCACATCGTGCAAATGTATGTGGTGTACTGGGCTACTGTCGGCAGGGCCCATGTCTGCCTCCAGGCAGCACTGTGTCAGCAGCCTCCCTATGTACTTTCTGCTCCTGACTCTTGTTGGCACCTGGATAGCCAGCTGATTCAGTGCAAATCCTTACAGCTGGTGCCATGCACCAAGTTCCGTGTCCCATTTATAGTTCCAGCCAATACAGGGATAATTTTACTACTTTTCAAAGCTATTAAATTGTCTGAACTACCCATGCTTAGTAGCAGATGTAAGGTTCAACACTGCAGATCGATTAACTTACGGGGTGGAACAGATGGACTCTGGTTCACTTTCCTCAGCAGCACTGGTATAGAACTGGAGCAGTTCATCTTTCATGGAGAGCTCATGTCGCAACTGAGAAACCTGCACAAAGAAAGAGTTTGCAGATCAGTAATTTGATTTTCTAGACACATTCTTAAGTAAATCCACTACAAATTAGCAAGTTATTCATCCTCCAGGCATCAATTTCAGACTACATTAAGAGGCAAAGACTGAAACAGATCAGAATCATTTCTGTTATTTCTTAGAAAGGAAAAGCGTGCCTTTTAAATTAGCCACTAAATGTTATTTCTTAAAGTTCAAAAATGCACTTATCCACTGCTTTTAGACATGTTTCTCTTTCACATTCTTTAAGATGAGCAATGCTGACTCACTATTGCATAGTCTTGATCCATATCCACAGTAATAGATGTATTGCAATGATAGTGCAAGAAATTAATGTGGCACAATCCAGCCAAACATGGCAGATGGAGACATTTTTTCCTCTCTATGAGCCTTTAGATAAAATTACTAGAATACTTGTGTAGCACGGTTACATTTGGGACTCAAGAGCCTGTTGAGCTAGAGAACACCACTACACAGTGGGAGGCTGCCATTCTCATGCTCTTCCACCCACAGAGGCTGCAGTCAGTGTCTGGATGTAGTTTGGGCTTTTGATCACTCCAAAACACGAGTCTAGTAAAGTAGTTTGTGGGAGTCCCATACTTAGTACATACACGTATCAAAAAGGAACAAAACACTGAGATTGAGTGATTAAGATTCCCTGTAACTGTGAGCTCCACAAACTTAATCTTGGTTAATTTATATTGAGATTCTCCAAGAAAAGGGTTAAAAACTCAGCTACATAGTACAACACCTGCACCATTTCACAGCTGCAACTTAAGACTCCAGTAGCAAAAGATTAATTTTTATTTGCCTTGCATAGCTACAGATAGCATAACTGATCAGAAGATCCATTTCCTTCCATTTGCCCTGCAAGACTAGGTCCTCAGTTTGCACTTTCCAATGCAAAAATTGCAGAGCACATTTCTTTTTATTAAAAACTTCTGCTTTTTACATTGTAGGCATACTTTTCTTTGTAGTTATTACTGGAAAATAAAAACAGAGAATATCAATAAAATAGATTTGCATCAAACAAAAAGCAGACACAATGCAATAAAGCACTTGAACTGTGCAGAATATGAAGCAAACAAGGTCATTTACTTTACTAAGGCTATTCAGTGTAATCAGAAGTGCTAAGGCACCAATTCCTCCTGAGGGCTGGGTTCTAAATAGCAAGGTGGGGGGGAAAATCCCCAACCAACCACATGTTAGAAAACTATTAAATAAAATCCATGCACTAATTTTTGGAGGCTCATTTTCTCCATTTCAGGAAGAGCTAAAACACTTAGCCAAAAATAACAATTTACTTCCCACAAGCACATTATAGCTCAGCCTCTTTAAGCAGCAAGGATTCAGATGCTGTCAGTGGGTGGGCACTAGATCATCTCCAGCTTTTGCTACTCTTTTTTCTATATGAATTAAAAAGACTGAGAATACTATTTTTACTGCCATTTTCAAGCATTCCAATCCTCCAAAACAGGGTGTACAGTCAGTAAGCCTGACCTTTTAATGGAACAGGAGCTGAAACAATGGGCACAAACTGTAACACGGGTGGTTCTTTCTGAACACTAGGCACAACATTTTATTGTGAGGGTGACCAAGCACTGGCAACAGTTTGCCCAGAGAGCTTGTGGGAGTCTCCATCCTTGGAGATATTCAAACACTGTCTGGACATGGTCCTCAGCAATGGACTGCAGGTGTCCCTGCTTGAGAAAGGGGTTTGGACAAGATGACCTCCAGAGCTCCCTTCCAATCTCAATCATGCTGTGCAACTGGGAAAAACTCACTGCAGTAACTTCCAGAAACACCTCCCTTGACACAGCATTTTGTGGTGTGTAACCTCACCCAGCAACTAAGCACCCACCAGCTGAGCACGTACTCTGCCCCACAAACCCCATAGGATGGAAGAGAGAATCAGAAGCTCAAAAGCAAGAAAAACCTCATGGGCTGAGACAGTTTAATAAGTGACACTGCCCATCAAGCAAAGTGAAATAAGGAATTTATTCACTGTTTTCTATCAGCAGGTGGATGTTCAGGCATTTGTTGGAAAGCAAGGTCTTGGCACACATAACTGTCACTTGTGAAGAAGGCCATAATCATGAACGTCCCAGCTTCTTCCTCCTTTCCCTGAGCTTTTGTTGTTGAGCATAAGCACATAAGGTATAGAACATCTCTTTGGTCAGTTTGGGTCAGCTACCCAAGTTGTGCATCCTTCCAGCATCTTGTGCAGATGGGGGGCAGAGTGGACATTAAAAAAAAAGATGGGGGGGGGGTGGGAAGAGCCTGGATGCTGCTCAGTAATAGTCAAAACACTGTTTGTCATCAGCACTGTTTTAGTCACAAATCCAAAGCACACCACCAGGTAGGCTGCCATAAAGCTTCATCCCAGACAGACCCAATACACATTTTCATACTGAAAAAGCAGGACTTGTTTTATGAACAGAAAGAGTCTCTTCTACATTTTCACAAGCCACTGCAACATGTGCCCTTCAGAGCATTCAACTGCATAATGCAGCAATAGAGACTGAGCTCTTGCCCCCATGGGACAAGGCCCATGATATCCTGGGAACCAAGATAGCTCATCTCTTTCAGGCTTTTAATTCCCTCTGCTAGCCTGAAAGCTTCACTCAGCTTCAAAACTACCTCATGAAATAGTTGCACCTATATTAGAAATAATTAAAGGAGAAGATAAAAGGATCCCCACACAGAGCACAATAGTTTAGAGACATGGGACCTAACTTGCACAAACAATCCTTACTAAATCACGAACAACCATTTCAAGAGTCCAGTTGATTTGTTTTCCTGACTGACTGCAACTAAATGTTTAACAGGTTGGAATTATTCAATTAAAAGGAGGTGAACAGTCAATACCTTTTTACGCTGTATGTAAATAACGTGCCAAGCCAAAGAGTATTTCTGTCTTTCCAACACTGTCCACTCAACAGACCAAAACCAATGTTCCCTTTTTTTAAGCCACCAATCTAGGCTATAATTCAGCTTTTTCCTTTCCTCTCCCTTAACAGAGAACAAAATCAGACCTGGACTTTAAAACCAGCTATCATCAAAACACAAACTCTGATAACTAATGTGGAACTAGATTAACAGGACTAGAGGGCTGTATTACTCAACAGTTAACACAAGTTTAGGTGGTGTTACTTGAGGACTGACACTGTCCTTAAAGTGCTGTCTAAAAGCTAAAATGCTTCAGAAACATCGGACAAAATCTGTAGAGGAAAAAGAAGTTGAAACTGGGAAATACTAGAAAGATTAGGAGAAGCTAAAACTAATGACCTACTCCATTCCAAATACAGTTCACACTGTTACTGTTTACATTTCTTTGATATCGAGCTCTAATTTCAAAGGAGATAACACCAAAGTGTAGGTAGCACCATCCCAGTGAAAAGGGACACATCTTGAGATGGGAGCTGCAGCAGTCTTATTGAACACGGTAATACAACAGCAGGTAGACACGCCGTACCTCGGAATTACACTTCTGCTGCTGAAAAGGCAGACAAGCATCTCTGTGACCAAAATACTTTACAATTAAGAAAGTTTTCCAATATAATGTTTATGCATTTAGAATATAATACTGAAATAGTAAGCTTAGACTAAAGTGTCTGTGCACATGGTGTCTGTGCTTGCTTTAGTGCCCTTACCCTTTGTTCTCTAGTGCACTACAGGAAAAATCTCAGTTCCATCAGTTTTTATTGAACATGATCACAGCCCCTCCCTAAACATAAACAGCACCTAACAACACAAACTCAAAAGACAAACCCAAGAATCTCATGCCTTTCGCACAGGTTTGTACTATTTTGACATGTACCTATCAATGTGGCATCTTACCAGCACACAAGAAAAACTCAAGCAGCAAATAGGATGGACAGAAGGTTTTGTCAGGACAAGTTTGGTGGGTCAAAGAGATATAAAGCTAAATTATTCGTACCATGATACATATACCAATAAAACCTTAATTTTATACCACACACCAGAAAGAACTTGTCCCCGTATTACGGAAACCATATATCCCCCAGACAAGCCATTTTAGGCACTTTTTAGAGAATTTTAAAGTACCAAATAAATTCTTTTATCTTTTACCCTTACAGACAGCTGTCTTAGTTACTGTTCTGTTTAAATATTCAAAGTTCAGTTTTTATGGAAAATCTGAAACCTACTAAAGACAGATTTTCAATACACAAAAGTGTCATGACTTTAAAGCCTGATGAGCTCTGCCTCAAAAGCATCAGTTTCTGAAGGAGTCAAAATAAGAGCGTGAAAGAGGGGTGTTGACAGAACATATGGCCCAACATACCAAGCCACCTGGTAAGAGGCTTATTTCTGGTGGCACTTTTCCTAATGCTGTTTCTCAGTCCTAAATAAAAATAGACCTGGACAGAGGCAGTCCTTCACCTTCCTCAATCAAATTTTCCACTCTGGATGGATGGTATGAAGGCATACTCCTGCTTGCTCACTTTGCACATACCTAGTAAATGTCATATTGACCAATGCACAAATAAATTTGTCTGCCACACGATAAGACTTGGGCAGCAAGCAACAGCACTCGTTGGGACAGAAGAGAATTCATTTTCCTTGCTAAAAAGAGGGTAGGCCAACCAAAAGATATTATTTCAATGTGTATGCTCCACTACTATTTACCACATATCTGGGATCCCTCCATCCACATTTTATTCTCCAGCATATCTCAGATATAACGCAACACCTCACACCTCTGAGCAGGTTTCATTATTTATTTAAGTTTTTAATCCACTGTGGTTCATTGTTCTCCTGCTTGCCCTACAACTGTAAGATTTATGTCTTGCTCAAAATCACATAGGGATGAGATTCACAAACTCAGGTCACTGTCCCAGAAAAAGAGAAATAATATTTGCTCCCAGTTCAATTAGTAGGTCAAAGTTTAATGACACTTCTAGTTACAGATAAAGAGCTTTTTTTAAAACATCCTGGCTGGCTCCATCCAAAATACGTCTATCAAGAATCTGCCAGCACCTACATCACCCAACTCCCCATTCAGAGGAACACACTAAGAAATAGCAACTAAATAAATATTTGATTAGAACCTGAATGGTATATGGGAGACACATGCTACACTGTTTTAAGTAACACCCTTTCTGGCACGTTTTATAAATCACACCAAAGCGCTCACTCCCAGCCCAGAACGCCAACCATATCCTGGGCTGCATTAAAAGAAGAGTGGCCAGCAGGTCAAGGGAAGTGATTCTCCTCCTCTACTGCAATCTGATGAGCATCCAACTCTACAGTCCTGAGGACAAGACAGACATGTACCTGTTGGAGCAGGTACAGAGGGGGGGGCCACAAAAACGATCAGTTGAATGGAACACCTCTCCAATGAATTGGGGTTGTTCAGCCTGGAGAAGAGAAGGCTCCGGGAAGACCTTATAGCAGCCTGTCAGTATTTAAAAGGGGGTTTATAAGAAGGTTGGGGACAGACTTTTTATCAGGGCCTGATGTGATAGGACAAGGGGTAATGGTTTTAAACTAAAGGAAGGTAGATTTAGAGTAGATATAAGGGGGACATTTTTAACAATGAGGGTGGTCAAATATTGGAACAGGTTGCCCAAAGAGGTGGTGGATGCCCTATCCCTGGAAACATTCAAAGCTGAGCTGGATGGGGCTCCAAGCAACTTGACTTAGTTGAAGATGTCCCTGCTTATTGCAGGAGGTTGAATTAGGTGACCTTTAAAGGTCCCTTCCATCCCAAATGATTCTGTGGTTCTATGAATTGAGAAACACATGCACCATCCTATTATATTCTAAACATGCTCATCAAATACCTAAAACATTGGTATTGCAGTCAAACAACCACATGTATAGAGAAGGTGAAACTAGAAGAAAATTCTCCCCATCACTGCATATACAGCACTCAGGTACAAAAATCTTACCTCTTCCCTGATGTGTTCTACTTGCTCCTCTAGGAAGTCATTTCTTTCTGTCAGTGATTTATTCTTCTTTAACAGTGACTGGCCAATCCGAGCAGCTAATTCTAAGTCCCGTTCTTTCTGTAAAGCATTAAGAAAATAAAGCTAATTTCAATTTTTTTTATTCACCAAAGGATCAGAGGGAGGGTAAAACTGCCATGAAAGGGAAGGAATAAGTACTTCAACAATAAAAATACTTTTTCCTTCTGTGAGGATTTGTTTGGTTGGGTTTTTTTGCTAATTTTTGCTTCTTCTATTCCTGCTTATGTTACATCCCCATGATTCTGAAAAGATTGACCCACGCAGATTTATTGAACAATACACAAGAAAGCACAGCTTCAAGGTCTGCAGTAAAACAACATGAAAAACAAAATGAAACGAGATCCAGTTCTCTATTATAGCCTTGTAAAAACTAACTACTAAGGAAAACTATTCCATCACCTTGCTATGCAATTTGAAGAATGCAAATTGCAGAAAGCACTGAGCTTTAGAGGTCATATTTTAAAGAACTCTGAAACACAATAAAAATACCAGAGAACTTTGGCATTTCAAAGCATTCTTCAATTTCCACTTGCTCCACCTCTAAATAAAAGGCAATAAGCTACGAAGGAGCAGAAGCCAATTACACCACAATGAATACTCAGCTCCTATCTTCTTTGTGTATGTACATCCATTAGTGCTTTTGTATCAAAACAAATCCTAACTCCTTCCTTTTTAGAGATGCCCAAATCAACGTTAAGTGGTTACTCTCATGTCACACTTGACCTTTTCTTCCCCCTCCTCTGTGAGCACAAGAGTTCTTGACAGTTCACCACATGTACCAATAAAAACTAGAAGCTTATTTTTTGACAGGTACCTATGGATGCCTCGGCTTTGCAGAAGCTGATACGTGGGGTTGCAATCTGCGTGGGAGAGGATAGTAAAATGCTTAGAATTTTGTGCCATTCATTAAGAATTTCTATTTATCATTTTCTTATTCAACTACTAGATCCTTAAAATAGTGGTAAAATGGTGCTCTGGTTAACATCACACATATCTTTAGTTCAACACAATTTGAGGCAGAATTTTCTCCCTGGTACTGAAAATACTGTTTGGGGTTGGCACTAAAAATCATCCAGATTTTATGACTAAATGTCATGTATACATTAATGACAAAGCCTACAAAACCTACAGCTGCTGATCATATGGATTAGAAGCCAACGAATTTGAATGAAGAGGCTTTCGTAGTAGAAAAAGAAGTCATACAATAACCAGTAAATAAAAAGAGAGGTTATCAATCACTGATGCATCTACAAATAGCATTTTCCAAATGGTTTCTGAAGGTCAGACCTATATTTGCATTAAAAACTACTGACATTATCTAGTCATAAAATCTTTATGTAATCTTATGTATGATCTTTCAGAACAATGAAGTTACCCAAAAAACATTTGGTTTATGTATCAAGCCCACTTATTGTTTACTAATTTGGCTCACTTCATAAATACAAAATGGAAGAAATATATTGTTACAGTTTGGAGTACAGAGTAAGAGCTATCTAGCAGCAAGATTTCTAACCTCAGATTTGAGGAATTTAAGTGCATTTCCAGGCTCTTCAATTAACCTCCCTAGACTTCCTACACAATTTTTAGTAATTCAGCTCTAAATCTCAGTTTGGGGACAGGTCTCTTAGTCACTTAGTGATAAGGAACTGATTTATTACAGCAATGTGTAAAAAAAAAATATTGGGAAGCAGGACACACTTACACTATTATTAGAAAGGGATGAGAAAGCATTCATGAAGGAATCTGCTCCTTTTCTTACCATGTACCCAGGCAGGCCTGATGTCATTCCTTTTGCTTAATTTCAAGACAACAGGCACAGATTTTCAAAATATCTGCATATGCACACATGCTGTTTAGAGATCTTCCCTTTCCTACCTTCCCAAATGCTGCACCTTTTATCCTATCACCTTTGTAATGCAATCATTTGAAGCTTGCCAACATGAAGGACAGACAAGGGGTAGGTTTTGTTCTTTTGCTCACTTGTTTGTGTGAAGGCAACAGAAGGAGTTAAATTCTGCAAATGGATGTAATCTCTTGCAATAGCTATTATCTGGAGAAGAGAGAAAGGTGCAGTAAGTGCACCTCTTCCTACGAATAGAGTAACTTCATCAGAAATGATGGTCAAATAAAACAAAAAGGCTCAGTGAAAGTATTTTTTTTAATTAACGTTTCACATAATACACACTCCTGTCATTTTTCCCTTGCCATCATACAGGTGGGAAAGTACATCAGAAGCTTTAAAACACTGGCTCAGCAAGTCCTTCAAGCATTGCTCCTGTGAGTGTGATGTCTGGATCTATAGACATTTGGCTCCATGGACTCAGGGGAGGAAACAGTTTGGCAGAATGCTGCATCATTACTAGAAGGAGCCACAGAAAAAGTGCAGCAAATCTCAGCCAAACAAGGCAAAGAGAACAGGACAAAAACAGGTAGCAGACTGTTACTACGAATTGATGAATTATTCCAGGACAAGTCTTTGGGTAAAGCATCAGTTTTAATAGATATTTCGTACAGAGATGTTTAAACGGGTTTGGCTCAAAGTACAAAATGTAAGACTGTACTGCATTGAACTGTATCAAGCACAGGTGGGAGATGTAAGCATTCATTCCCATGCTTGTTTCCTTGCAGAATTAGAGGAAGAACAGACCACCCAGTGTATCTTGGTTAAACAGATCCCATTTTTACACTGCTATTGTAATAAGCAAGCAACTAAATATGAAGGATTACATTACATTCAGCCATGAACTAATACAATTATAACAGTTTTCACCTAAAGAATTACTCATAAACATTCTTTGGAAAATCATTGCTCAAGTTCACTGCAGAATAGCAGCTAATTTCACTCAAATGATTTGTTATTATATTTATTGAACATAAGCACTGTACTGTGACATTTGATTTTTGACATTTCTTGAGTGCCAAGGACTACAGGAATAACAGCTTACATAAGAATGGTATTAAAAGAACCCAGAAAGAACAATCAGACCAACCAAACATGAGGCAAAGAAAAGGAGACAAATAGAGTATTAGATATTTTCTAATTTTGTGTCTATCTACTTCTCTGGAAAGACATTATTTGAGATAATAATTATGAATACTAGACTGTAAATTATTTTCATTATTTTCTGAAGTGAATAAATCCATCAATAATGATACTCTTAGCTTTAAAAGTACTGTAAAAATATGTGCCATTTTAAAACTATTCCCCCTCCTCCTCCTCATTCATTAGGGAAAACATTTGGCCAAAAACAAGTTAAAAGGCCTCAACTGAAAAATAAAAACAAGTAATGAATACATGTGATTGAGGTAAACAAAGGACTTTTACTTAGAAAAAATATTTACTTTACCAATGAGATAAAGTATACATACACTCAGTGTGCTTATTCCTTCTCACTAGAGGATAGCCTACAATCAATCTTGAGTAGTGGTACCATAAAATTTCTGTATTACATTCTCATACTGTGTATAGATCCTTAAAGAAATCAAATACTTGCCTCTTCAAGAAGACGTGTTACAGCATCTATGTCATTGTATGTTTTAGTCATCTGGCCCACTCTTTCAGCACATAAAACTGTAAGGAAATAAAACAAAACATTAATCATATTGGCAGTACTATTGGGAGAGAATCACAGAATACTGTGAGTTGGAAGGCACCCACAAGGATCATAGAAGTCCAATTCCTATCCTTTGCAAGTAATATCTTTCTAAGTTTAAGTGTGCATAAGTTTTCACCATAAAAAGTACTTACATCAATTTTTGGGTAAGCATATCAAGAGCTAAAATCCCGAAGCAAACAAAACAACAACCAAACAAAACCCCTAAAAACACTAAACCCACCCTCAAAAAAATTATCAAAGCCTTACATCACACTGAGAATGCAAATGTTTTCTTATAATGAGCATTTACTGTTGCCAGTGGCCAAACAAACTGTTAAAATGTTAAAACTTTCTTCTCTGAATACAAATGTCTTGAGTTTATTAAAAAAAAAAAAAGCAAGAAGTCAAAACAAATGTTCTTAGACACAAAATTAGGATTATATCATGTCACCTACTCATTGTATGACATGCAGTAGAGTTAATCCATGAATAAGCAACTCTAATACTGTTAGGAACGCTGTTCAACAGGAAGATACTCTGTCACATAAAGTTGGTAAGAACTGGGTTTTATGGTATAAGACAGCAAAGTAAATATAAAATCCACGGAAAATAAGAAACGGGTCTTTTAGATGATCCTTTAAGAAGCTATACTGACTTATCTAGAAGTCAACAAGTTCTCTAAAAATCCACCAATGGTCAGAGGAAACAACAGCACTTTCTGTTCTACCCTTCTATTTTTTTTATTTTCAGCTATACTTATTCCTCAAACCCTGTAATTATGGAAAAAAAGGACTGTTAATGAAATTCAGTGTATCACATGGACCATGAGTTATCAGGCTGCTGTAGCATGAATTGGTCTTCAGGGGATTTACCCTTGACAATGTCAATTAAATCTCAGTCTGACAGATTAGCTAATGTTGTTCTAGGGAACATTAAGGAGAGGAGGAAGGTAGGGGGTTGGGAGAGACAGATAAGACCTAATAAGATTTAAATGGTGGGGGGAAGAAAAAAGAACAACTGCACAGTAACGTTACCAGGAGATAAGTCTGTCACACTAAGGAAACAACACTACCCAATTCATAATTATACAATCTGCATATACACAAATGCACACTTGATCACCACTAAGGCACATGAATAATATATCGAATGCAACAGCACTTAGGTCTCTGTTGAAATATTGGAGGATTTTTTTTCCATACCTAAACACCAGATAATTGCTTAAACTATGGCAAGAAGCTCAATTTCTTTGTTTATTTTCCTGTTTCTGTAATTCTACTTTTGAGGATCACATCCTGAAAACATTTACAATATTTGGTGACATCAGTAGTGCCAGTGAACTCCAAAAAATGCTATTCAGAAGTATTCAGAAGATAACTGCACTTCCGCAAAAAACCAAGCCTGAAAATGCTAACAGTAAAAAGTAATAATCTGACAAACATTACACAGCAATAGAAAGAATAACTATACTACTACACAAGCAAAAAAAAGTGCACCTGTAAACTATAAGCTATATTAGTCAAAAGCAGACTAAACAGGATTTCACAGAAAAAAATGCAGTAACTTGCACAGAACATCAGCTATAATAAACAAAGAGGTTTGCTATAAAAACTTCACATAAAGACAGAAGGTGTAATGTCCAGACGACTATTCACACACAAACAAATTGATATAATCATAAACTCAATTTTGTTTTAAATATAGTAAGTTCATAAGTCATGCCATAAAACATCTATCAGAAACCTTGACGCCAGCAGGTTTCAAAAACAACTGCACACTAAATAGTTCCCTTGGTTACAACATTCCATCACTACTGTAAAATGATGTTTGATATTCTCATTAGCAAGATCATTTCAACTCTGTACCTAGCACTAACAATCACCATTGAGTAGGACTGGCAACCTCACACTGTCTTAATTCAGGTGAATATATAACCTTCCTAATATCCAAGCTGATAAAGGATGGTGTTCCCACAGACAGGATTAAGTCACTCAGCTGGCAGAGTGATAAAGGTTGATTTGCGTGGCTACTCCCTTGGTTATTCCTTCAGGACTTCCCATGAAAACCTTAACATGGCAGGGTAACACCACAGCCTTATCACAACAGACACTAGTAGCAGGGAAGTAGAATCTAATCACCAATAGCTTTTATATCTTGAAATTTGCATCGAAGTTCTTTTGATCATTGTTAAAACAGAGCTCTTCATATACAGTTCTGCCAATGTGAAAGGGTTTCAAAGCAGAAATGTTCTTTTATGCATCCTCATCAGCATCCAAGTGGAAATAAACTTCAACAGACTGCATATAATAAAATTCCTCCTTCAGTCAACTACTGCCCATACTACTATTACTAGATACAATACTGAGGAAATAGAGCTACTAACTAAAAGCAAGGACTTCCTTTTGGAAGGAGAGCAAACTTGTAAAGAGGTGTTGCTTTTCATCACTCAGAAACCAACAAGGCTTTTGGGGAAGAGAAGGTGAAAACTGAGGGGAGAGTGCAATTCAGAAGCAGCATTAAAAAATAAAAAAAAAATTCAGAAGTGTCTAAAAATTGTGATTCAGCCTTCATAGATTACAAGACAACATTTGGCCAATTCCTAGTACAGTAACTTTCATTTCCTTAGTGATCAAAAAAAATCTATCAGTGAAAAAGACTGATTTTTATCAGTCTGATATTTTTAAAATAGTATATTTTAAAAAATCACTCAGAGGTGTCATCAGTGAAATACAGACAGGAAAAGTACCACCCTCCCCACCCCCCCAATCTCTAATGGATTCTGTTTAGTGGGTTTCTAGCCTCCTGGAGTTTCTCATGAGTATAAGAGCCTGGTAACACTGCTGTAAAGATAAAACAAGAGCAAATGAAGGACAGTGCCTTGTAATGCAAAACCTACAGTGCTGACCTGGTTTTGCTCACTTGCAAACCAGCAGTAGTTTTGCTTGAGGGTGATAGGGGAGCATAGTGTCTAAATGCATGGATGCATGCAAACAGCCAAATCAAATACACTTTGCATCTCTCAGCTTATGGAGAAGGCTGATAGACAACACAGAAAGAATAAAATAAAACAAAATAAAATGCTACAGCAAGTGGAAGAAATTCCATAGAATTCCAAAAAGAAAGTTGAAGAACGTGCTTTGGTAACTGCTTTGAAGCTAATGTCACAGATCCAGAACAGGAAACAAGGAACAGAGAAAGGTCCCATCACCTTATTTTCATGACAACACTAAATACGTGCTACGGGGACATACTTGCAGTTTAAAGCCAAACACACAAATCAGATCAAACACAGATCAAATATTTCCTCTGCCTTGAAGTACCTAGCACCATTTTCATACTCTCTTAAAGCTTGCAAATTTACTGATACCCACATTCCTGTGTTTCTGAATGTGAGTACAGCTGAAAGGATGTACTCTGCCTCTTTCAGGCTCTGAGCTCGGCAACAACCAAGCACTGATTCCCAACACATGTACCTTCCTGGATTGGTCCCAGAAAGTCACACAACTAAGCATGTTGCTTAGAGGAAAGGTATATTTCCAGGAAGAGAAAACAGCCATAGAAGGGAAGGAGAACAAGAATACCACTATTGGCAGCTTCTGCAATGAGCCACCACCCACCAAACAAAGGATTCAGGTAGAAGGAAGCAAAAAAATGAATCACAGGAGCCAGCAGTCACAGGTGTCCTCAGTTCCTGCTCCCTGCATCTCTCCTCAATGCATATTCCCTCGTCATTTTTGAAACCTATCAACCAGGGGCAAACTAAAAAACTAAAAGAGAGCAGCCACTGCTGAAAAGGAAAGCTCAGTTCCCACTGCTCCTCTTCCCATCTATTTCCAACTACTGGGTAACACGGCAGGGCGAAGATGTTATTGTAAAGTTTCACTTTTGGGGCAGATAATATGGGCCTGTATAATTACAGAGGCTAACAGCAAAGGCCCTAGTGCATGAGAATTTCCCTACTACCAAAACTGACTTCCTCAAAAACCACACCAGAAGAAGGAAATACTGGTCACAGAGCACAGATCTCTGGTCATTTTAATAATGATACTTTTTACTGGCAAGGTGGCAGGGGGGAACACTGCTTTTTTTGGTAACAGTTCCCTACCCAAAGCCTTTAACTATGGCAAGGCCTACTATATTCTTGCTCAATCATGAGAAGCTCTGCCTCACAAACAGCTTCTGTCTCCCTTCTGCTCAGAGCTCTGTCCAAACACTGAAGATAAATGATAAGTGCCTCGCATCTTAAATGTTGCACACGGAGAGGCACAGCACACACACAGTGGTGCTGACTGACCAGCCGTGCTCCTTGCTGCCACTTGGCAAGCATTAGCAATCGAAGACCCTGGCAGATTCGGACTCCTCAGTTCACGTTGGATTAATTTCTGAAAGGCTATTTTTACACTTCAAGGATAAAGCACTTGCTAAAAATCACAGCTTCAGTTTCAGAGCCACTGATAGTTCCGCTCTGGCACTGGTAACTGTGAGCACTACATCTATTCCAGCCAAGCACATGAGGAATTCTGAAACTGCCATATTATGTATACTACCTTTCAAACAAACTCAGAAAAGTTATACCTAAAATGTGCTGTTACTGACACAGACTAGAAAGACTCTACACAGTAAAGATAAACATGGTAGCTTCTCCTCCACTGAAAAGGCATTTTTGGCAGCCCTGGTTAAACTGGGGCAGAGGCTTCAGGTCTGTTGTTGCCTGTCACATTTGAGACAGCCTAAATAAAACACGCTCATCTAAAGAGCTTAAAAATGTTAAGAGATTAGTGTCACTGGAGCTTGAAGAATGTGCTTCCAAGGCTCAACTTGCTAGAAGTCTGAATCTTATCATTACACACCAGCAGTTCCCTCAGCCTTCCCCACTGCTTCCCAAGCACAAGAGCAGGCCAGACGCTCCAGAAGGCAGACGGGGATTTCAGCAGGTGGCTGTGACCCTGGTTAGAGAGATAAAGAGCGGTCACAG